GTAACGTAATGTAATGTAATGTAATGTAACGTAATGTAATGTAATGTAATGTTATTATAACAAATTCGTCGATGACCAAACTGTAAATCTTTATACGCGAATATAGATTTCCGTGAACAAATTCGTGGAAATGGCAATCAAAAACGAAATATTTCCGCGTTGCTGAAAGTTGCATCAGAACCTAACGAGAATAAAAATCTCGCTGATCTCGTTTTTCGAAGATTTTCTTGTGCTCCCTACGATTTGTAATTTATCGTATCGATTTCTTTTGAATTTTAACTAACCAAATTCGTCAAATTCGCTGGTTGTTCGTTTTTTAATCGATCATTCTTTTCTTTGAAATATTGAATTACTTTGTCTAGTGAATATTTCTTTTTTTTAATAGCTTTAAGTACAATTTTAAGTAAAATTTTAAGTATAACTTTAAGCATAATTTTAAGTATATCTAGTTATGCTTTAAGTCGGTAAGAACATTCGAAACATTTCGAACGCGCTAATTGAGATTAATTAGACTACCGCGAGCTAAGAGAGTCGTGACTGTGGACCAAGAGAGTCGACTGTAATTAAAAGGCTTTTGTTCTTCTTCCCTTATTTAGTTTCCGACTTTCGCCCATTCATCTCGCGAGAGGATATTGAAAGCATCTTTGACCGAGAATATTAGTTGTCCCGAAATCTTCGTTAATATATTCCCGCGAGATGCTTGTTCGTTTTATTTCAGTTCCTTTGCCTGATATATGGTCCTTTTCTCGGAACGCTGACGTGAAAATTACTTTTTTTCTCGTACGAGTTTCGGAGCATCTCTGGTCCGATTCTTTTTTTTTTTCCTTTTCGAATAACAGGCAAGCCTTTCCGACGTGCTGGTCCTTTCGACCGCCTCTGCAGAATTCTTACATAATTTACGGCCCGATACGAAAACTAGCTGTCGATTAACACAATTTTCTTTATAACAAAAATAACATTTACGAGCAACCGAGAGGAAAGGTATATGTATATTTTATTTTTTGCATCTCGTAATAAAAACAATAATTTTTTACAGAATAATATGGTCACTAATTTTTTCAATTTTTATCAAGCAGAATTAGCAACGTTTCCGTTGGTAATTTTTATTACAGCTGTCTCTTATACACATCTAGATGTGTATAAGAGACAGCTGTAATAAAAATTACCAACGGAAACGTTGCTAATTCTGCTTGATAAAAATTGAAAAAATAAGTGACCACATCATTCTGTAAAAAATTATTGTTGTTATTACGAGATGCAAAAAATAAAATACACATATACTTTTCCTCTCGGTTGCTCGTAAATGTTATTTTTGTTATTATATAAAGTATTATTAAATTATCAACGGAAACGTAACTAATTCTGCTTGATAAAAATTGAAAAAATAAGTGACCACATCATTCTGTAAAAAATTATTGTTGTTATTACGAGATGCAAAAAATAAAATACACATATACTTTTCCTCTCGGTTGCTCGTAAATGTTATTTTTGTTATTATATAAAGTATTATTAAATTATCAACGGAAACGTAACTAATTCTGCTTGATAAAAATTGAAAAAATAAGTGACCACATCATTCTGTAAAAAATTATTGTTGTTATTACGAGATGCAAAAAATAAAATACACATATACTTTTCCTCTCGGTTGCTCGTAAATGTTATTTTTGTTATTATATAAAGTATTATTAAATTATCAACGGAAACGTAACTAATTCTGCTTGATAAAAATTGAAAAAATAAGTGACCACATCATTCTGTAAAAAATTATTGTTGTTATTACGAGATGCAAAAAATAAAATACACATATACTTTTCCTCTCGGTTGCTCGTAAATGTTATTTTTGTTATTATATAAAGTATTATTAAATTATCAACGGAAACGTAACTAATTCTGCTTGATAAAAATTGAAAAAATAAGTGACCACATCATTCTGTAAAAAATTATTGTTGTTATTACGAGATGCAAAAAATAAAATACACATATACTTTTCCTCTCGGTTGCTCGTAAATGTTATTTTTGTTATTATATAAAGTATTATTAAATTATCAACGGAAACGTAACTAATTCTGCTTGATAAAAATTGAAAAAATAAGTGACCACATCATTCTGTAAAAAATTATTGTTGTTATTACGAGATGCAAAAAATAAAATACACATATACTTTTCCTCTCGGTTGCTCGTAAATGTTATTTTTGTTATTATATAAAGTATTATTAAATTATCAACGGAAACGTAACTAATTCTGCTTGATAAAAATTGAAAAAATAAGTGACCACATCATTCTGTAAAAAATTATTGTTGTTATTACGAGATGCAAAAAATAAAATACACATATACTTTTCCTCTCGGTTGCTCGTAAATGTTATTTTTGTTATTATATAAAGTATTATTAAATTATCAACGGAAACGTAACTAATTCTGCTTGATAAAAATTGAAAAAATAAGTGACCACATCATTCTGTAAAAAATTATTGTTGTTATTACGAGATGCAAAAAATAAAATACACATATACTTTTCCTCTCGGTTGCTCGTAAATGTTATTTTTGTTATTATATAAAGTATTATTAAATTATCAACGGAAACGTAACTAATTCTGCTTGATAAAAATTGAAAAAATAAGTGACCACATCATTCTGTAAAAAATTATTGTTGTTATTACGAGATGCAAAAAATAAAATACACATATACTTTTCCTCTCGGTTGCTCGTAAATGTTATTTTTGTTATTATATAAAGTATTATTAAATTATCAACGGAAACGTAACTAATTCTGCTTGATAAAAATTGAAAAAATAAGTGACCACATCATTCTGTAAAAAATTATTGTTGTTATTACGAGATGCAAAAAATAAAATACACATATACTTTTCCTCTCGGTTGCTCGTAAATGTTATTTTTGTTATTATATAAAGTATTATTAAATTATCAACGGAAACGTAACTAATTCTGCTTGATAAAAATTGAAAAAATAAGTGACCACATCATTCTGTAAAAAATTATTGTTGTTATTACGAGATGCAAAAAATAAAATACACATATACTTTTCCTCTCGGTTGCTCGTAAATGTTATTTTTGTTATTATATAAAGTATTATTAAATTATCAACGGAGATGTGTATAAGAGACAGGTATTTTATTTTTTGCATCTCGTAATAACAACAATAATTTTTTACAGAATAATATGGTCACTAATTTTTTCAATTTTTATCAAGCAGAATTAGCAACGTTTCCGTTGGTAATTTTTATTACAGTGACACTCCAGCAGCTTCCGCGACGATATCGAAATATTATTACGAAGCGTAATCTATTGACAAGAAAAGGTAGCTGCATCGGGGTTATCGGTAAGGAAGAATATGCAACGAGAAATCGACTGCTGGAATCGACTGCATAATGCGCACGATCGATCGGAAACAAATTTGACGTTACTTAAAACATCTTCGACATAAGTATGCAATTTTCTTAAAATTTCGAGACATCGAAAATTTTAGATTTTAACGTTCAATAAAACATGCGTATAAGTAGTATTTCGATTTTGTTAGGTTTTATTCGTAAAGAAGAGATTCCGGCGTATCTATTTAACACTAAACCAACCGACCTGTAACGATGATTAGCGTGCATTGACTTATAAGAAAAGATAGAATTCACTTGGTTTTTGTAAAGTTTTAATTATGAGACTTGTTTCAATAATATAATTTATTCAATCATTCTCCACGAAGAAGTCTCCAAAGTTTGTGGTATCGTAAAATAAAAAATCGTGGAAATAAAAAATTTTGACCGCGGTAGGTTTAGTTTTAAACAATTGTATGGTAATCCAGTATGTCGTAAAACGCGTTGCAACGGACTTCGACGGCGAACTAATCTATCGCTTTTTCCTTGGCTTGAGAGTCGAGATAACGTTGCCTGTAAGCCCCGGTCGGATCGAACTTCGCTTCGAGGAGACTCCAGTCTTCGGATCTGTGATCGATTAAATAATGAGAAACCTTATCAGCAACTTCCTTCTGTTTCTCGCTGCAAGACGAGCAATCGTGTTCCAAAGCGTCCGGCAAATTCTCTGCAATGTATAATTTGAATATTAGCTCGCGTTCGATGACACAAAATAAATGTACTTAACGTTTTATTATCGTTCTACAGGATATCCCATAATTACGTTGACGCTCGAAATAACCTTTTAACATTTGAAGTAACTGTTTCCTTAGCGAAAATGCAATCCGCGGCTTTGTTTACGAGTTATTAACAAAAAAACACTGACCACCTAGCGCTAGGCGGCCGAGCTCAGTTTTTTTTTTCATTAATAAAAAGATAAAGTTACTTCGAATGACTTCAGGAATCACTCCTTTCCGAGTGTTAACATAATTATGGGACACCCTGTGTACTAAGAGGAATTTAAAGAATCTGTTTTTTGACGTGATAATCCCAAAGGAAATTATTAGTCAATGTTACTAGAGACGACTTACTTGAATAGCGTTGATGAACAATTTATTGGGCAGTTTCTAACTGTAAATTATAGACCATCGGGAATTATAAAATGGTAGTAACAAGTTCCAATCGCAATAACAAGTCGATCTCTAAATCAAATAATCTAAAATACATGCTCGGCCCTAGTTTATTATGTAAGATTCTTTGAAATAAAACAATTTAGAACAAACCGAAACGTGGGGAGAATTTATTCTTTACAATATCTACATCAAATTGTTTGTATAATTTTGGGCAAAATGGAAATTGATTGACAGAGTACAGTAAATTCTTTCTAATTGACCCTCAGTTTGAAAACGAAAATAGACATTTTGGGAATACGAGGCTCGAATAATCGCATCTCCTCTTCCAAAATTGTCCACTTTTACGTGCAAGCTGAGGGTCAATTAGGGAGAATTTACTCTACCACGTACATCCGTCATGGCATGTAAATCATGCATTGAAATCACTGAAATAATTTCAGATGCCGCAGAATCTTGTACCGTAAAAAATGAACATCAACATTTTTCCACGCAAATGAATCCTTAATGCTCCGTTTTACACGATGATCGGCGGAGTATCGAAAAATTCTCAATAAATACTGTAATTTGCGCGATCATTAAATCGAAAGGCATCGAAGTCTCCCGGTACTTCCTTTTTCTGGATGAACGAATATCTGCGGGCCGAGTATATGTATAATTTCGCGAGAAAGGTATTGATATCTACATCGGCGATTACGTCGGGTAATTCGTGGGATCATTACGGGGATGAAAAGGTTAGATTGAAAAAAAGTCCCATAACTCGTAACTGCTCGTAACAAGTACGCGCTGGCATTAAAGACAAAATGCGAACAGTGTAGGTTCGCGGGCGCAATAACCACGGTTTCCGAACAAAATATCCTTCGAGCCCAGCACGTACTAAAGAAAGACATTCTCCGGTCGGGTAATTATATCACGCGGTATTTTTTTTGCCAGATGGCAAAGGACGCGTAACTGATTTAATGCGCGACCTTGTCCCCCGGGAATAGTAACGACGCTCATAAAATTGCGGTCGACCGTAAAACGACGACGTCCCGCGTAAGAACAGCTGTGCTATATGCATACGAGCGCATACAAGTGCACGCGGGGTGCCCACGTGTGCGTTTTATACCGGGTCATTATAACGAGCGGCTCGAGTTTTCCGAGCACCGCCAAATGAAGCTGCTCACCGTGTCACGTTATTATTTTCATCCGCCTTATAAATCGACGCAGAAGTTGACAGCTTCATTCGGTTGAAACGTTTCGTATGTTTATCAAATTTAACCGGAGTGTACGCGATCTTGTTTGACGAACTTCGGTAACTTCTGAATTAGTGTTTCTATCGTAAATAAGATTTACGTTGGCCGCAGGATCGCGCAAAGAGTGAAATGATATTTGAATAACGATCGCCGGCTTTTTAAACTTACAAACTGACTATGGAGTTTTTACATTTGTATTAGGTGTACCGGAAAGTTCTGTCCGATAGTGTCACTTCAAGTTTCAATCCATATGCACATGTTGATTTGAGACATATATGACTACCTCTCTTTATCATTGCATTTACACACATGTACTCTCCTAAATAAACTGAAACAGATGGTAGCGAAAATATTTCGGAAGCAATTTTTCGAAAAATACGAACCAGAAATTGTTATCCCGAAATAACTAAAATATTCATCGGTGCGAAGAGAAATTGCATTTCTAAACTAACTTTTGGGTTATTCGTTTGTTGAGGACAACGTTTCGTTCTCGCAAATATTTTATTTTATTCTTTTTTATAAAATAAATTGCTTTTATATATTTTTTGACTCTAGCATCGATATTGCAGAGAATCGAATTCTTTACGTATGTTTATTCTACCGGTCAAATATCGCCAACAAAGGGCTAGCTTTTCGTTTCTATTTCAAAGAAATAAATCGCTTTTGTATTTAGTAAATTCTATATAAAATCGCGGTAACGAAATTGACACGATTTTATGGCGTAAGATGTTCATGAAACCGGGCAATAATCGAAGAATTCGAGTCACTTAAAAAACGTGTACATTACACTTGTATTCTTCTGCTCGTCTTGCATAGTTGGTTCGATAAATTTGAAAATTGTTCGCTCGGTGTTTGTATGTATTAGGTCTACCGGAAAGTTCTGTCCGATAGTGTCACTTCAAGTTTCAATCCATATGCACATGTTGATTTGAGACATATATGACTATCTCTCTTTATCATTGCATTTACACACATGTACTCTCCTAAATAAACTGAAACAGATGGTAGCGAAAATATTTCGGAAGCAATTTTTCGAAAAATACGAACCAGAAATTGTTATCCCGAAATAACTAAAATATTCATCGGTGCGAAGAGAAATTGCATTTCTAAACTAACTTTTGGGTTATTCGTTTGTTGAGGACAACGTTTCGTTCTCGCAAATATTCTTTTATATATTTTTTGACTCTAGCATCGATATTGCAGAGAATCGAATTCTTTACGTATGTTTATTCTACCGGTCAAATATCGCCAACAAAGGGCTAGCTTTTCGTTTCTATTTCAAAGAAATAAATCGCTTTTGTATTTAGTAAATTCTATATAAAATCGCGGTAACGAAATTGACACGATTTTATGGCGTAAGATGTTCATGAAANCTGGGAAATTCTGTCGCATCCGCCATACTCCCCAGACCTAGCACCCTCCGATTATCGCTTGTTTCTCTCTTTGCAAGACTTTTTACAGGAAAAAAAATTCAAAACNGTTGGTTCGATAAATTTGAAAATTGTTCGCTCGGCATTTGTATATGTATATTAGGTCTACCGGAAAGTTCTGTCCGATAGTGTCACTTCAAGTTCCAATCTATATGCACATGTTGATTCGAGACATATATGACTATCTCTCTCTATCATTGCATTTACGCACACGTATTCTCCTAAATAAACTGAAACAACGATGTCTCATGTCATTATTAAGTGAGACGCGATCGTGAAAACATGGCTACCGATGATAATGCCAGACCACATGCTGCTTTGGCGAATCGTCAGAAAATCGCAGAGCTACGCTGGGAAATTCTGTCGCATCCACCATACTCCCTAGACCTAGCACCCTCCGATTATCACTTGTTTCTCTCTTTGCAAAACTTTTTACAGGAAAAAAATTCAAAACTGAAGCTGATGTCAACCAAGCACTAATCGAGTTCTTCGCCTCTAAAAATAAATCATTTTTCAAAAATGGCATTTACAAGTTGCCATCGCGCTGGCAAGAAGTCATAAGTAACGATGGAAAGTATATTCTACAATAAATATTATTAAATGTATGAAAATTGTGTTATATTTCAATTCAAAAACGGACAGAACTTTCCGGTAGACCTAATAATTTCAATGTCCTGCGAAATGTATGCTAAATAATTTACGAACGGTTAATTTTCTTGCGAAAAGATCTTTTATTCCTATTCAATATTGTCTCTCACAGTTGATTATAGATTCTGTGCACGGTCTAGACAATTATAGAATAGATGATATAATTCCTGGATCGTTAATTGTCTCGTAGAAGAAATTAGGCAGACGAAAAGTAAAGCAACGTTTAGCTTCTCCGTATCGATTGTGAATTTCGTGCACCAATATAAATTTAATATAAAAGAAAATAATATAAAATAATATAAAAAAATTTAATATAATATAAAAGATCATTAATACAGATTGAATATTGATGAAAGTCTCTAAATTTAGACTCTCGATGAGTTAATATAAATTCTAGTTGCTTTTTGTTTCTTAACTGTCGCTCGCGTGTCGATTTTATAATCACCAAAGTACATACATATAAATTTGCAAATTTTACACTCGAACGAAGAGATTTGCAGCGACGCTCGAGCACTCACTTTTAAGTTCAGTTGCGTCAGGAGTGCAAGGACCGCGATCCAGAAGACAATTCACGTATCCATTCAGAAGTCTCTCGCTTTTCAGCACCGAATCGATATCGACGTCGTCGTATTTGGTAGTGTACTTGTCTTCGGCAGCTGCCGACAGCAGAAGACAGCCCGAAAATGCGAGAACAACGATGACGTTCTTCATTTTTGAGTGGTAGCTCGTAGGATCTCGAAGCTGGTTTCTTCTCTCACTGATCATCAAACTCGTTAGTAGACGCGTTTTATATACTTCGTGCGAGGCTCGTTTGTTGCACGAGATCGCGCGGCAAATTGCTCGTAGTACGCGGAGAAAATTGTGGCTCGTGCATGATTTCGTTGGAAAAAAAATGAGTGCAACTCATTTTCTTGTATGATAACATGTCGTTAGGCGGACGGAGAATCTCTTTAGAGGTGGACGCGGTTCCCAGAACAGGAAAGTAGCATCCGACGTGCGGTTGCACAAACATTATTTAGTTTATAACAAACGCAAGTTTAATTCCATAATATGATGTCTCTGTCTCTTGGAAGGAATTGGTTTGTTTCCGTATTCATTTCTTTATTTATTGATATACATATAAACGGAAAAGCCTCTTTGTTATAAAAAAGTTAAAGAAGATTTTTATATATATATATATATATAAGATTTTTTTATATA